TCCTGTTGCGGACACGCCCCCTTTTCCTGTTGCGGACACGCCCCCTTTCTCTTGCGGACACGCCCCTTTTCCTGTTGCGGACACGCCCCCTTTTCCTGTTGCGGACACGCCCCCTTTCTCTTGCGGACACGCCCCCTTTTCCTGTTGCGGACACGCCCCCTTTCTCTTGCGGACACGCCCCTTTATCTGTTGTGAACGCGCCCCCTTTTCCTGTTGCGGACACGCCCCCTTTCTCTTGCGGACACTCCCCTTTTTCTGTTGTGAACACGCCCCTTTCTGTTGCGGACACGCCCCTTTATCTGTTGTGGACACGCCCCTTTTTCTGTTGCGGTCACGCCCCTTTTGTGCTGTGGACACGCCCCCGCTCCCAGGGGTGCTGGGGGGGGACAATGGGGTACACTGGGGGACACTGGGACACGGGTGGGGACACCCGAGGGACACCGGGACACAGCTGGGTGACACTGGGACCCTCGTGAGTGGCACTGGGACCCCGTGGGTGACACTGGGACCCCACGCGGGTGACACTGAGATCCTCATGGGTGACACTGGGACCCCCGTGGGTGACACTGAGACCCTCGTGGGTGACACTGAGATCCTCATGGGTGACACTGGGACCTCCTGGGTGACACTGAGCCCCCCCGTGAGTGGCACTGGGACCCCGTGGGTGACACTGGGACCCTCGTGGGTGACACTGAGACCCTCGTGGGTGACACTGGGACCCCCTGGGTGACACTGAGACCCCCTGGGTGACACTGGGACCCCACGGGTGACACTGAGACCTCCATGGGTGACACTGAGACCCCCATGGGTGACACTGAGACCCCCATGGGTGACACTGGCACCCCGTGGGTGACACTGAGCCCCCCCGTGGGTGACACTGAGCCTCCCCGTGGGTGACACTGAGCCTCCCCGTGGGTGACACTGGGACCCTCGTGGGTGGCACTGGGACCCCCCATGGGTGACACTGAGCCCCCCCGTGGGTGACACTGACCCCCCCGTGGGTGGCACTGAGCCCCCCCGTGAGTGGCACTGGAACCACCGTGGGTGACACTGACCCCCTCGCGGGTGACACTGAGACCCCGTGGGTGACACTGGGACCCCGTGGGTGACACTGGGACCCCGTGGGTGACACTGAGCCCCGCCGTGGGTGACACTGACCCCCCCGTGGGTGACACCGGGACC